AACAGGGTTGTAAGATATGAAGGCTTTTTTATTCATATAAATTCATATATTACGCATTCATATTTTATGTTTACATATTGTATGTAAAGCTAAATTTTGCAAAAACAAATTTTGAAAACCAACTGAATACAATCCAGAGATGGAAGATTTCACGCAGTGGCATAAAAGGTACCCTCACCAATAAATTAACCTCCTGTGGGAATTTATTAACATAAAAGTGAAATATTGTTCTTAGTGTTGTATTTATGTCTAGTTAATATTTCAGAATTAGTTTAGTCATTCTGTAAGCAGTTAACTTAGTATTTTGGAGCGCAGGTTACATGAATTAAGCATAAATTAAGTAGATGAAAATCCATGACATGACCTGCCAGGCCCTAGATGAGTTGTAATGGAACAACCCATAAGCTTGTGACTTATGGAAAGATGTCAGATACAAAAAACAATGTAATATCACTGAAGGTGAAGAAGATTCCGCAGAAAACCACTGTGAACTTTTAGTGAAAAGTGCAGATCTAGTAAAAATTTAAGTGTAGTGCACATAGTTTCTAGAGAAACATGATTCTTTAGGCAAAAGTCCTTAATCAGCTGTGCAAGCAGACTGCTACTTCAGCTGAAGGAGGTGAAACTAGTTTCAAAATAGTACACAGTCCATTACACATTAAACATGTAAGGTATTGTTATTATTATAATATACTGCCAAATGTTATATCATAATTTCCAAATATGCCCACTTATACTTAAATAAAAATATTTTTAACATGGATTTTTCAGTTTAAGTGATATATATATATATATATATATATATATATATATATATATACACTACATAGACAAAAGTATTAGGACACCCCTCTTAATTATTGACTTCAGGTGTTGCAGCCACACCTGTTGCTAACAGGTGGATAAAATTAAGCACATAGCCTTGCAGCCTCAATAGACAAACACTGGCAGTATAATGGGTCGAACTGATGAACTCAGTGATTAAACATGGCACTGTCATAGGATGCCACCTCTCCCACAAGTCAGTATGTGAAATTTCTGTCCTGCTAGATCTGCCCCAGTCAACTGTAAGTGCTGTTATTGTGAAATGGAAGTGTCTAGGAGCAACAACAGCTCAGCCACGTAGCAGTAGACCAGAGTGAGGCTACTGAGTGCTGAAGCGCATAGTGCCTATCCTCTATTGAATATCTCACTAAAGAGTTCCAAACTGCCTCTGGAAGCAACATCAGTTAAAGAACTGCATGTTAGGAGCTTCGTGAAATGGGTTTCCATGGCCAATCAGAAAGCACAATGCCAAAGGGTGGGGGGCGTCTCTGGACTCTGGAGCAATAGAAACACATTCTGCGGAGTGACAAATCACGCTTCTCTATCTGGCAGTCTGATGGACGAGTCTGGGTTTGGCAAATGCCAGGAGAACGTTACCTAACTACATTGTGCCAGCTGTAAAGTTTGGTGGAGGAGGGATGATGCTATGGGGTTGTTTTTCAGGGGTTGGTCTAGACCCCTCAGTTCCAGTGAAAAGAAATCTTAATGCTTCAACATACCAAGACATTTCAACCAATTATATGCTTCCAACTTTGTGGGAACAGTTTGGGGAAGGCTCTTTCCTGTTCCAGCATGACTGTGCCCCAGTGCACAAAGCAAGGTCCAAATGGGCATAGTTGGGTGAGGCTGGTGTGGAAGAACTTGACTGGCCCACACAGAGCCCTGACCTCAACCCCATCAAACACCTTTGGGATGAACTAGAATGAAAATTGCGAGCCAGGCCCTCTCGTCCAACATCAATGTCTGACCTCACAAATGCTCTTCTGAATGAATGGGCAGAAATTCCCACAGACACACTCCAAAATCTTGTAGAAAGCTTCCCAGAATAGTGAAAGCTGTGGTGGCATATTGTTGAAAATTATACCTTGTATGGTATATTTGTGTACAATGTATTTATTTTTAATAGCCCACACTGTCCAGACTGCTATTGGCCATGTGACGTCTGACTTTTTAAATGGTAAGTGACATATCTTGAACAACACTATCATATAGGTTAATAATTGACTTGTTAATATATATTTTGTGAATATTATTAACAACAACAAAAGGACCACGTTTTAAAGTTTTCAAGGTAACTTTGATGTGATCAGAACAGCCTCTCTACATTCACACACATATATCAAATTAAAAGAACTTTATTGGCTCAAAATTTTCCCCATATTTATGCATAAACAAGAGCACACTGTATGAAATACACTTAGGAAGACAGATGTCTAGTATTAATTTGAAATGATACTTTAGCTTTTTCAACTGGTACCAGCGTGTTTATGTACACATATACCTTTCAGTATAGGGGTTGTAAATGAATGTGGAGTGGAGGTCACTCACAATCTACAATTTAAAAGACAACTCAGTCATCAAACCAGATGTGTCATCAACCATGTTTGTGTAGCCTGTATCCATGTGAATGTGTGTGACAGGTCACATGCTGAGGGCGTGTCCAGTTTTCACAGGCGTGGATTGATGTGTTCTCATACTGTGTAATCATGACAATAGACCTCTATGACCCTCAGCTCCTGTACAAAGACTCTCCTGTTTTACAATGCACAATGTTGACAGGGTGATATGTTTTATCAACCCATAATTAAATCATCTATAGGCCAAGATACATACAAAACAACATAAAAATAACTTTAAAAAAACGATTTTATAAAAACATTTCTAATGTTTTTATAAAATGATAATGTTTTAGCTTTAAGCAGTTAATTCAGCATAAATGCTAATACAAACTCTGTATGCATATGATCAGAATAAAGTTTTTTATTTCTGTTGTTTACACAATGAACATAAAAGTATAAACTGAATTTCATAAGAAACTACAATCTTCTTTTTACAAAAGTCATTAATTCATAGAGAGAACATTCTCATTCAGGCATGCTTTTTCTTTTTGTGGACTACATTTTAACAACATGTTAAGCAACAAATTTATTTCCACATACTCTCAGAAAAAAAGGTACTATCTGGGTAAACTTTACTCCCCCAAGGTACAAAAAACAACATACCCTCAAAGGCACAACATGGTCCTTAAAGTCCAATTATATACCTTAAATACATTTTAAAGGCACACTATATTCACTTTCCTAGGGGGAAAGAACATATTTGTACCTTTTCATAATTTTAGTATAGAAAACTATGGTAATAGAGAAATAAAATAAAAAGGCTAGAGTGAACACAAGGTGCATGGCGGTTGTCACCGACCCTCCTCCTGGAGATCTACTTTCCTACAGAGTTTAGTTTCAACCTGCATCTAACATGCTGTGCACCCTTTACCTACACCAACGCATCTGATCCAGCCAATCAGGGACTTCTGAAGAAGTTAATTAGTGGAGCAGGTGTGACAAATTGTGGTTTGAACAAGACTCTGCAGGAAGGTAGATCTCAAGGAGCAGGGTTGGTGACCACTGGTGTATGGAGTTAATGCAATTTGAAAAGTAAGTGCAATGGAATATGGTACAATTATGTTCAAGTTTTTTAACTGTCACTTTTTACACTGGGTGTTGTCACAAAGTAGATACACATAAAATCTAGGTCCAAGCCCCAGTTGAGCAAGCAAAGGGCAACGATGGCTTGGAAAACCCCCTAGAGCAAAAGGAACAAACCTTAAAAGGTACCTATCCTCCTCTGGTTGACACTGGATAGCAAAGCAATACCACAACAAGAGCAATATGAATAATAAATAAAGATGTGACAATGAACCTACAATAGTGAATAAGGGACAAGTTAAAAAATGGCCTGTCATTGAACAGAAGTGTTCAGATTAGCCAATGATAACTGATGACTACTGTTAAGAGGCCTATCATGAACAATATGTTGTATTCCCTAACTATATGTACTAAAGATATACCCTTGAGGGCACCACTGCAGTAATAGCGTTTGTACACTGTCAGGTACAGTTTTTTTTTTCTGGGAGTGTCCTGCACTGTATGATCTGAGGTCAAATTTCAATTTCAAAAAAAGATTCAAATCAAAGTCTTGATAAATAGTTCTCAAACATATGTTAAAGTTTCAGTAAAACTGACTTGGACAAATTAATAGGAGACACAAGCAGCAGGATGAGTTTATATATGCTAATTCAATATATGCAAGCAGACAACACAAAGAAACCAGAAATACAAAAGACTAATAAGTCTGGTATATAGAAGAGTTCTAAAGTGTCCAAAGAGAGGCAGGTGCTTTTGTTTTTTAAGGGCAGTGCCAGAGTGGAGCTAGAGCAAAAAAAGCCCAATCAATGAGGAGTTTCCTTGGGAGAGGGAAGACTTTGCTACAATTACGAGTAGTTTGTGTATATTTAGAGTTATATTTAGCATATTTTTAGCACCCTTAAACAACTTTATGTACCAGAATGGAAATAATTGAGGTTTGTAACACAGTAGGTCTGTGTAGCATGTGTGATGAATGCTAGTGTCAGTATCCAGCCTGATTATACCGCGCAAGAACAAACATATAATAATGATGGCTTGCCATGTAAGAACATGTTTTCAACCACAAACCCCTTCCAAACCACTGCTAGTTGTCATGACAACACAATGCCTCTTGCTGCTACTACATTACTGTTTCTAAGGTTGTCCAAATAATAATAAAAATACAAAATTACAAAGGAAGCTAGAGGATGTCAGCCACGCACAGACCCTCCTACATTCCTTAAAGTGGTCACACCTATGCTGAGCCAATTAGGTAAGAGCATGCATGTCAAAAGAACACTCTTTCAAGCAACCTAATATTACCCAAGCACCCACAACCTGCATTAGATTCCTCAAAAACAGTCCTGGAAAGCCAAAAGAGCTAATATGAATAGAAAATATTACTCCATAGCAATCACAAACAGGTTTGGTAGGCCAGCTGAACATTTGGATTTGCTGGTGTTTGCTAGAGAGAGCCATGGGCGAAGTTGATGAGGTGCTGAGAGGGTGCGGCCTCTTCAGGGAAGTGTGAGAGAATGGGGGAGGGACTGTGGGGGACTGAGAAGGTATAAATAAACCCCACCCAAAATTCCTTTCTGACAGCCTTCTCCACCTGGGAACTACATTTCAGTGCTAGATCTCATCAAGAAACAGGTAACTGTCTATTTTTTGCCCTCTGTTACTCTCTTCTTTGTCAAAACTGTTGACAAAGGTGCTGTGAATGCAGCTGAATATTGTGTTGATGTTACTGACGTTGAAGAGACATGAAGCTGTAACAGGATCGGTTTCCTTTGCCTGAGGCAAATATGAAGCTGTGTTATATTAAGACATATTTGCATACATAAATAGATGTAGAAGAAAGTAAAGCTTTGTGTAGGTATACATTTTTGTAGAAAAGTAAAATTCTCTTCAGTTTGTTAGTCTTTTCAGTTATTGGCTGATTAGGACCTGTCTGAACATTCAAAATTCTGACAAGCTCTGACTTGCAGTTCTGTTCAACTGTAGAGGGTTTTGAGCATTTGCTAATACAGGTGTGTGTATTTTTGTTTATTAGACAAAGATTCTGCTTAGAATTTGAAAGGGCATAAAAATTACAAACGCCAAGCTGCTGATGAAGTATTTGTTGCAACATGCAACATTTTTGGTGATAACGTTATTATGCATGAAGTAGAATGTTCATAACGAGGCCCGGTCATCATGATGTCTAGTTCTGATATAGTTTCAGTGCAGATCTGAGGAAGATCACATATCAATCAGTTGCATGTATTTTTGCATTAAATCCTGCTTCGATGCAACACTACAAGAAAATAGTGTGCCTTTCCCCAAACTGTGGCAAATTCCATGGTCCTTACTACATTTACAAAGTTGAGGTAAAGGTTATGAAGGTTATTTTTGAGAAAAAAAAAAAAAAATCAAGACACATTGGAAAAGGCCACCCTCTCAGAATGATGGTTTTTCTTTTTTTTAAAGATTTCTTAGATTAGATTCCCATTTCTGGAGACCATTATTCTTCAGCCCTACAGACAGGGGTGTGGTGAGGGTAGTCTTTCACATGTGAGTCATCCAAATATGATACATTCAGCACTGTGGGATTTAATAGTCTTATATTTGGCACCTGAAGTAGAACATCAGATGTATCCAAAGGGAACCAGAAGTCCTAGATTTCTTGCATTGTTTTCATGGAAAATGTATTATTTAAACGTGACACTGGCCCTCAAAAGTTTGGTAACACCTTACTTTCTCTCAAAATTAGATTTTCTTGCTGTCACTTCTGCTGAAAAAGTACCTGCAAAAGGTTTAGCATAAAACAGCTGTTTATTAATACTTTGGATATATATATGCTTCACGCTTATCAAAGAGTCTTCCTTGCTATTAGAATTTGCCTAAATAATTGAACAATTGTCTTTTCCAGAGTACTGTTTAAAAGCACGTAATAAAACTTTTGGTCAAAAGGTGGTTGAAACGCCTAAAAGTTTTGAGTGCTGATGAATAGTGACAGAACAACAAAGAGATAAAGTTTGGCATTATTCACAAAGCGGTACTGTCACAAACATTGTCACAGATGTTTAAACATGAGATTGTTTTCTTTAGAACAAACCTGGTTAGATTGTGTAAAACTATGGTGTAATACTTTCATTGGGATAGTACCTTTAGATGCCATTTAAAAGCATAACTTGCATTTAGCTAAATATTTATTAAATCCACCTCAATTTCCTCTAATGTTAAACCAAAGCCTCATCCAGCTCCTAACCCTGGTCCAAAACTTAACCCCAACACTGAGATTCTGTTAGGTTTCACCAGATAGTTTAACAGTCTGTAAAGTAATCTATAGAGAGCTATAGTTTATTACCCAAATAAAGTGAGACCAATTATTGCAAATCAACAAAGGTAACATATTTGTATTAAAACATCTGAATAGCTAGTTGTCCCTAAACTTTTGCATGATATACGCTTGTTACATCCATCTATCCATCCATCATCTAAACCGCTTATCCTTCTGGGTCGCGGTGGGGTGCTGGAGCCTATCCCAGCTGTCATTGGGTGGAAGGCAGGATACACCCTGGACAGGTTGCCAGTCCATCGCAGGCATCTTGTTACATAAAATGTTAAATTCTTCATTAATAAAACCACGATTAATACATACGGGAAATTTAATATTGATCTGTGTTTTCAGATATCATGGATGTAAGTGGACCTTTTATCTTCATAAACTGATTTACTGGATGTAATGACAGAAGGCTGGGAGAAAGACCACACCTCGAACTCCAAAACAAACATATCTGCCTCTACCTGTTCTTCTGTGTACTACCCACATTTCACCATCCAGCTCCTCCCTAGTTTAAATAGTACCTATAGGGTAATCTTTCTATTCAGGGATTAAGTATAGTCCTGGACTACACAGCATTCAGAATGAAGAGTCTCTACTGAAAGGAAAATACAGTCCAGGATTAGGCTGTATACCAGTGTTTCTCGGCTATGGTCCTGGAGGAACAGTGCATTTCCAATTTTAGTTTTTTCCCTTTCTCACACAGCTACACACACTAACTCGGTAAGATGTGTTGGGGCAGGGAAAACATTAAAATGTGGAGCCCAGTGTGCCTCCAGGGCCAGGATTGGAAAAGAGTGCTCTACACCAACCTGTAGAATATAAGCGCTTTGGATATTAAACCACAGTAGCACATTCTTAAAGTCCATGCAAAGGGCTGCCATTCTGCTTAATCAACTAAGGCACAGTTTCTTTGCTGGGTTCAGTAGCTCAGACCCAAGTTTGACTTCCTGAGTTAAACAGACCATGTTCTTGTTTAGTGGGAAAGATGATAGTGTAATTTGTAAGCCAAAAAGGAGCATGTAAAAGCTAACATAGACACTTCAACCAAGTACACTGAGCTACTCTTAAATGTTGAGTGGGAAGCAACCAAGAACAATGTAGTGATTAACATCAAATAGTCTGGAGGAAGGGATTTAACCCCCTTACTGGTCAGTATCTGTCCTGTGACAGAAGAGAGGGAGGACAAGCTCTCTTTTATTGAAGACATCTGTTTGCTTCTCATTTCTGCTCCTATACATTTCATGGAATTCTCCCTTCTGCTGTTTCTCAGCTTGCAGATGCTCTTGATAGTGGAACAGCACAGAGCAATCAGTCTGGAGGGCCAACATGGCCAGGGCAGCCCACCAACCCATCCTGGCCTGGGCAACCAGGCCAGCCCACCTGGCCAGGGCAACAGCCAGGCATGCCAACTCAGCCATACTGGCCTGGTCAGCCAGGCCAGCCAGCATGGCCTGGACAACCCAACCAGCCCACTGCACCAGGTTGGCCAGGACCAGCCCCACCAACTGCCCCTCAAACTGTCCCAGCACTGGTGAGAGATTCAATTTCACATTAGTTGTTTTAGATAGCTTTTGTCATTATTTAAAATGTTCTTCAGCGTGTCATTGTAACGTCCTCAGTCTTCACTGGCACGAAAGGACAATGAAGCATGCAGTAAAATAGCAAAATTCTTGTGTTTTGAAATGTGTCTTTTTCACTAGAGTGTTCCATATGACCTGGCTCTACCCAGTGGAGTCTACAACAAGATGCTCATTACTATCCAAGGGGATGTCAAGCCCGACGCTAAATTGTAAGACCGGTCATTATGGTAAAATGAACAACTGTTCAATTCTGCATCTCTACAAACCAGTGAAAAACAATTCATACAAATGCACAAAGAAATGATCATTTTGTGATGTATCACCTTGAGGATTGCTCCTTTTTGCAATCATCTGCAGGATGGTCCCATTTTGAATCCCATGTGACCACTGCTTATATTTGTCACATACTGAAATTAGAATGCACTGTTTCTGATTGGTAGGTTTACAGTTGATCTGGGCAGAAATAAAGACATAGCCTTTCATTTCAACGCTCGCTTCAATGAGGACGGGAAGCAGGTGATAGTGAGAAACAGCATGATAGGGAACCAGTGGGGTCAAGAGGAAAGAGCAGCTCCTTCATTCCCTTTTGTCCAGGGGAAGCCTTTTGAGGTGAGTACCATGTTTGGACATGCTGATTCACTTTAAGTTTAGTTCAAGACAGTGAACTGCAATACTCTTTTTGCTGTTGATCCAGATTTACTTACTTATTTATTTATTTCGGTATTTTTTACTACTTATATTGTATATGCGTTCTTTCCTACTGCCCTCTTAAGTAATCTGGGGATGAACTAACCAATGTTGCATTTTTTCTTTTTGTAGATGAAGATCTTGTGCACTCAGACTGAATTCAAAGTGGCTGTGAACAAGTCACACCTGCTTGAGTTCAAGCATCGGATTCGTGAGCTCAATCAGATCAAGCAAATCAGCGTCTACAGGGATGTCACACTTTCATATGTAAATGTAGAGACACTGCCCTGAAAAATGTAAATCATGTCAATGTCGAATTGTTTTTGTGGGTGGGTTGGTGGTGGTGATGGTGATAATCACACTGTAAAGAACATCTTATTAAGGGTCTTGTATACTGAAGGTCTGTGATAACATAAAGCACAATCCATCATCCACCTTGATTTGCTCACTAGCTGTTTTGTAATGTAGTGGCATGCTAAGAACCTCTAGAGGGCTCTGTTAATCTGCTCTGTAAATGTGGTTCCTCCCCAGCTCAGCTGAATTTTATTCCACTCAAAGACAAATATATAAAGGGAATGAAATACAATTATACAGCACTGCCACAGTGCAACAGATAAACATTTTACATATAACAATTGCCATTTCTACAAAATGCAACTGATATACATCCTTTAAAGACCCCATAAACATGTTCTAAGTATACCCTATGAATAATGTTCCAATGACCAATAAATGACAATATTTCACCATATTTCTCTCCTCTCTTGGGTAACGCTTCCACAAGCATTCCCCTGACCAATCACAAGACTGACGTCTCTTGCCCCACCCACACAAAACAGTCAGAGTCTCAGAGAACCTTAGCGAGCTAAAGCTAACCCAGCATAACTAAAAGCTAGCATGCTAGGCCACCTGTCTGTAGCCACCTACTCCCCGTTCGTTCATCTATACACGAACATAGTTTGTTCATCCGTTCCTTCATTCATGCGTGGCTTTTCCTGTCAATTTGTTCGTCCATTCGTCTGTCTGCATACTGTTTGTCCAGTTACCATCAGATAAAAGTTGGATAATGATTTTAGTTCTGTATGAGTGGTGGAGCAGGCTAGGAGTGTTGGACAGAGTGCTGCCAATGAAGTTGTACATTAGCCATGCCCACACAGTTCTCAGATAGTCTGATCAACAGTTTTTAAGCTGTTTTATCATACATCATTTTTCATTCAAGCTTTGTTAAATGTTTAATACAACACAACGTTCATATCATACAAAATATTTTTATATTTTACTCTCCCTGGGACAGATAATACAAGAGTAAAAGTCACTATCTTAGATACTAAGAACTGATTAGGCTGAGTGGCCAGTGCAGTTGACTTAGTACTTTGCAGCCTGTCCATGTGGCCCTCGTAAACTCTAACAGCCTGGTGGAAGAAACTAGGCCACTCCTTTCTACATTTTTTATTAAGCTAAAGTATATGGCTGGCACAAGAGATCACCAGAGAGGAAATATTTTTAGTAGTCCATACACTGGACACAAAGGTACCTTGAATTTATTTGATTCAGATATGTACAATGGCTTCACATTAATAAAATATATTTCACCCATTCAGTTATTACCAAAAAAGAGTAAAATTAAATTATGTTGTAATTGATGTTAATATATTTTATTGGAGTGGGCCTGATTTACATATTTGCATCAAGTATTTTAAACAAATGTAAGGGGAGGCACAGTTAGTATTAGATTTTTAAACATTAGAAAGATAAATATTAGAAAGCCATTTAAAATGCAGTAAGCAGTACTTGATTTCAAAACCTGAATCACACATTACAGGGGAATATCTTTCATTTCATTCAGGCCTTAACCTTTCACTGACTAGGCAATGTGCCTCTATACACTAACAGCAGGTATTGACAGGCCAGACAAGACAAAATGAAATCTGAAGAACTTTAATACACTATAATACTTCACAGTAAACTCTGTCACCTCTGACCAGAATATGATGGTGTGTTCAGAAATATCCAACTGCAAGTGTAGAGATGCACTATTTGAAGACCCTGGACACTGTGCATTCACACATATTAAAGCTTGTTTTCAGCTCCATCAACTGCATCTACTTAAATATACGGTTGTATTAGCTCACTGACAGGAACCTGGAAATAGTATTTCAAAAATCAATAAGAGTCGCTTCTAAAAAGTCGAATCAAGTCTGCCTTTGGGCATCCAGGCCTTGAAGTTGTCTATTGGGTTCTTCTAATCTGCTCTGTAAATGTGGTTTCTTTTCAGCTCAACTTGAATTTGTTATTCTACTCATATACAAATATCAGGAGGATCTGATCTTTACATTTAAAATACAGAGTATTACACATCTTGTTCTGTGTTTTCTTGGTCCTGACTGTAGATATTACATGAATATCTATATGAATATATATATATTCAGATTTTCTTTTGAAGTCAACAAATTCATACAAGATGGTTTGGTGTGAAAAGTTGTAGAGAAAATTACCAAGTGAGAATTGTTCACAATGATGATAGGAACCAGGTGTTTGAAGTGCCTTGTGGCTCTTAAAGCTACCTCACAAAAAGCTATGGGTTAAAAGCGATAGGTTAGTTAGTTGTCACTAGTCATAAAACCAATTAATGTCATTAATTTAAGGTGGTCCAACCCAATTCAATAAGATATCTGACAGGCCCATGTAGAGCAAGGCGTCGCCCCTCAACCAGAGTGCAGATGTTACTGATACTAATGTTTTGATGGTGGCTACAGAATGGGAACATTAGTGAGGATTTGCAAAACAATAAAATAAGCACACTGAACAAAAAACGTTGTATGTTATGCAGGTATGCTAATGTACTAGTCATATTATAGCATTCTTCGATATTTAAGAGGTACAGTTTACTGCACAAGTCATGTACTTGCCATGCCATACAAAAAGAATTTTTGTCTAACAATTCATTCTTGGCCACCAGTGATAGACCAACTCAGTTCTTCCTGAACTAAGCATAAATACAGTTAAAGAAGGCTAGTTCTCACTTCACTATGAGAGTCCTTGTCAGATTAACCAGAAAATAACTGCTGTAGAACAAACTACAGTATTAATCAAAGAGATTGAACTACTGCAATGTTTTGCATCTTCTGCTTCAACAATAGTCATTGTCAGTGAGGTGTTTGGCATCTTAAAAACAAGGTTTAACATTTATTCATTTTAGTTACCGTAAGATAAAGTTTACCTCAGAGTCTGTTTCATGTAGTGTTTTTTTTTCTTTTTTTTGTAGTTTAGGCATATGTTATTTACAACGCCTACAAAATGGTAACTTGCACTAGATGCAGCCATTTTGCTTACAGTGAGACACATATCGCTGTTGTTGGAAACAAAACCTCATATCTCCAAAATGATAATTTTACAGGAGAAAAAAAGCTTACTTTACTTTTAATGTAACTCAATGGACAATTCATCATGCAATTTACACACAATGTAAACAGGCATTTTCAAACTATGATAAAAACTGAAAAATGGAGAGGTTTTGTTCCAACAGCAGCAATATATGTACTGAATGGACAAAACAAGACGTACAATAAGAGAAGTGCATGTTAGCCACTCTTAAGCAGAGCACTATACATTTCTGAAACCCTACAGAGGCTCCTCAGAGTGCACGTATGTGTGGTAAACATAATGCTTTAAGTAAGAAAACTTTCTGCATTTTAAATAGGCTGGGTATTATAAGACTTATGATATTGTGCTCAGGATATTTGTCTTGTGTTTGATTTCCACAAGAAACAGAAGAAAAAAACAGCTTACTCTGAGAGTTTAATCCCTGTGATCTGATGGAGTACACTCTAATGCCGACCTTTGGCTCTGTTAAAGACCAGGTTGCCGCAGAAGTATGAAGTCAGGTCAGTGGTACATTTTTAATGATGGAAACAGTCGGTGAGAAAGCCCTACCTGAAATACAATACAGCTTAGCTAAATTATTCAAGGTCATTTTTCAGCGCTTTGAACACCTGCAACTCTTGAGAGGGATTTAACAGCTTTCTTACTGGATTTCAAGTACGGATGTAAACTTTTTTCACCATCTATTTTACCTACCTTTGGCCATTCACCAAATCTTCACAGTGCCTACCTGTGGAAATAAACAGAGTCAGTGTGTAATCATGCCCGGTTGCTATTTTATCTTCAACAAGACCATGCTTTTACACTTCAGTAGGTCTAATTCCCCTTCCTTTCATTTAAAGCCAGGAATTCCTTTGTACAGTTGGCAGCAACTCCTTTAGATGTTTGTGCAACTTCGTTTGTCCATTTTACCCACTTTCATGGTAGTGTTATATACACTTTAAATGGCAAAGACAAAAAAGTGCCATAATTCCAAAACTATATATGCCCCAAAATTCCAGTGTCCTTTCATGTTTTATCCACATACAAAAAATGTATGAACATTTGGTGTACATCCCAAGCAAAATACCAGGCGAGGTACAAAGCCACAAGAGAAGTCATTACAAGGGTCAGTCACAAAATACATTTAAATGTGGAAATAATCTTTATGAATAACATGTGGTTTATGACTATGAGGGTGTATTTTTAGGCTGATGAATTTGGAATCCACTGTTATTTGTTGGCTTTTTGTTTAGGCCACACAGGCAAGAGGTATATTTGTGGCCACATGTGTATATGGTGAGAGTGTATTTTCTTTGTAGAAGACTATGGCACTGCAGCCTTGTCCTAGTTAGTAGACTTGCAGTCTTGCAGTTCTCATTCGCGTGTGCCTGTGAGAACAGCGAGGCAATGAGGTGTCCCATTTCTCATTTTTGGGTTTAAAGGAGTGCTGACATTTAGTGCAGAGTCTTGCCAACCCTGAATCTATGGGGACGCGAAACAGTTTCTTATCTAAAATTCCTTGTGATACGGGCTAGAACCTATCAGTGGTGGATCTAAAAGTTTTTTACCAGGGGTGGCAGGGAGGCAATGTGAATGTGTGAGCGATGTGTGTTTCTGTGGGGTGGGATGGGGGGTTCGCTGTCGGCGAAACAGAACAGACAAGACATACTTGCAATGTGAATGTATGAAGTTCAGGGGAGGACAAACAACGCTCCTCTTAATGGCGCAAACATCTGCCCACCCAGTGAGGTGGAAGTCAATGAAATGTCTGAAATTTTGGGGTGGCATCTGGGGTGTCCAGTCAGATTTCTGGGATGGCACTGGCCACTTCAGCCACCCCTTTAAAACTGTTCATGGAACCAATCAGAGTGGATGAATGTGTTTACAGCAGTCCATTGTTAAGAAGAAGACATTCATGTGTTAGTTAAAATGCATTTCTTAATTAATTTCTTAATCTTAATTTTAGCAATTAACAGAATTTTGCCAGGTGCAGTACATGCAAAGCCTGTACTTAGCACAAGTCTGGGTAGAACTGAGTAGCATGTCACAAATGCATGCTTCAAAGACTATATTTTCACTACTGGGACAAAATGGTAACTTTACAGGAAACAAAATATAGATATCAGATATTAATAGATATAATTAAATATCGCCAAAATGGTAACTTTACAGGAGAAGGAAAAAGCATTCTCAATCTTAACTTTTAATGAAAATGATTGTGACAATTTAATTCCAAGTCATTTTGGATAATTACTATTGGTCCATTCATTGTGGAATTTTGACATGCTGAAAGCAACTAACAATTTGTATGATGTTGTATTGTGGGGCCAGACATGATCTTGTATCAAGAATAAACGTCTGAGGACAACTTTTGATGTTGGAT